TCTTCTGCTCCTCGATGGCTACTATTTCCTCACGGAGCATGTCGTTCTCCAATGCGGTAGCTGTAATCGACTTGTGGAGGCCAGCCACCTCCCGGCGGAGGTTGAGGTTCATTGCTTCCCATTCTCTTCCTCGCTGGGCTTCTCTCTTGGATGTCTTCTCTGCTTCCTCTAGATGACTCTTAGTCAGGTTGAGATCGAGAGACAAATCTTCTTCTGTCTTCTTCCACTGGTCCTCTTGTTTACGCATTTCGAGTAATTCTGCCTCCAATGCCAATCTCCTTGCTTGTATTTGTTCGACTTCAAGGAATATAGGGTCGGCGGCTGTTGCATGGTTGCTGACATCGTCCGAAGAGCCAAAGCGGTCGTCGACGCCGCCAGTCCGAAGAGCCTGGCCTAATTCGACGAGACCAAACCCAAGGCACTCTGGTGACGGTTGAGATGGTGCTGGGTGTGAAGGCCCATCAACTTGATCATCGACCTGCGGAAATTTGGGTGACGTTGCTGGCCTCTCTTTGGTGTGGGTTGCAACAGTACGTGGCTCACGAGGAAGGGTTGACAACTCCACACTCATGTGTCCTAATTCTGGACAGGCACCAGAGATGTCTGCGTATAGCTTTTCAGATGTTATTGCTAATGCGAACGGCTCGATGGAGGAGTTCGCCAACACCATCCCTGAGAGCTGGTTGCTGTTGTCGAATATCCATGAGCCTGAATTACCGGCCGCTGAAGCGCAATGTTAGCAACTGCTTGCGAAATCCCGTTTCCGTTGCTAAACATTATTTAGAACTGCTTACCAAGTCTACCAGGCAATTCCACTTTCTTCACTGCTATCTCATTCCCGCCTAGATAGTAGCTCACATCACCAGAGATCATGCATGCCTCCAGAGTCTCCCTAGAGTTAAGGACCAGTTTACATCCTGTGTCTGAATCGAAAGGGTTACTTTGTTGATAAGAATCATGAGCGTCGATAGTAATAATATTTCGAAAGGCCTTGAACTTTTCTGGACGAACAAGTGCAAAATCTGGCGTATGGTGGATTTCGTCTTTGCCGTCTTTGTGGCCTGGCTTCGAGACAGACGTGCTATCGGCTTTAGACGCTAAACTCCCATGCAAGAAATACGCTGAGAGCCCTTCACTAACGTTATGCCAAGTCATGTTTTTTGTTATGTGAATTTGTCCAAGGACGGGGTCTTGATCTTGCCCTGTTGTCTGCTCGAGGATCTCGTTGTGAATAGAAGTATCATCTGATTCGAGACTTGAGAGTGACTCTGAGTCTGAGAAGGAGTCGGACTCGCTTGCACTGCTCGAGTCAACGTCTTGAACCACAGGCGTACAGATACTGAACAGCCCGTGTGCTGTTGTTGCACCGAAGCTCCCTCTGTTCTCGCTTGTCACGGCTCCCCCAATCTTCGAGAGCACTTGACGGTACTCTCCGGTCTTCTCGGTTGTGCAACAACAGAGAAGGCCATTGCACGAGCCGTACGGTTCGGGGGATTGAACATGAACCCATAACTTCTCTCCATTCGTCAAAGTGACAAACGAGTCCGGGTCTACCGACAATACGTCGCTGACTTCTACTTCGTCTGTGGCAGCAGGAAGAGGGGGCCCTTGGTGGATCTCGATTCCGAGATCAAAAAAGGACAGCCAAGCCAGGTCTTTCATGACACCACAGATCATCTTCTTACACCACTTGCTACCACAAAGAATCCAGATCGTCGGAAACAGCCTGACTCTTCGTGATGCTCCCTTGTCTAAGCGTCCGGACATGCGAAGGTCTAGAAACACCGCTGATTCCTGCAATGGCTTGGAGCAGGACTTTGCCCGGATTCTCTCCATGACTGGTCGCAAGTCCGTCTGCAATCTTGGTTTGACTTCTTTCTGCCACAGTGAGGATACTTCGGCGTCCATTTTCACGAATCGAGACCTTGCAACATAAAGTGTGCTATTAAATCGATACAGAACCTGCGACTCGGCCTCAACCTCGAGACCGGGCTTGTCACATCCATAGATTGCAGCTTCTTGTGCAACTCCCTCAGAAGAGGCGAATGGGGCTGGATCAGGCTCAGTTATCTCCGACAATTGAGATGAGAGCGCACTCTCCGTAGAGCCCTGACTTGTTCCGGCCTCTGAGCTGGTCAAGGATACAGGAGGAGTGTCGGCATCACCTAGGCTTGCGAGCTGATTGTACCAGTAGCTCGGACTAAACAAGGGCAACGTTGATGTCTGAAGACTACCAGTAAGTCGCTTTAGCCCACCGCCGCCAGGTGTGTTAGTGCGCCGTGATGGCCAGGCGGAAGCCATCGCGACACAGTTACTGGCACTCGCAGCCAGAATCGATGATCGCGAAAACCACGATCAAAATCACAACAACAGATCAGCGAAAGTGGGCTTGTGCAGAAAATGAATAGGCGGCGAGGCTGTACTCGAATCGGAGCGACGCGCTGTTAACCACCTTCATGCATGCTCAGCCACCCCAGCTGGAACCTGCAGGTGTTGCCATTGGGCGAAAGCGCCTGAATGATGCTGGAGCTATCAACACATCGACCTGCTTTATGTGTGCGCGAGCCTCGAGATGTTTTCAAAATCTTAGATGAACCTGAACGGTCATTTCCACTCTGTTTTCGTTGCGTGAATTAAATCTATTAGCACGCCGCCATGAATCTGAATAGCCTACAGCCGAGGATTAGCGATGTCCATCAAATTAGTATTCTGTGGCCGAGTCTTTCCTCCAGCAATCAATCACTGGAGCAGTATTCGCGGTTCTTTGAATACATCGCGACAGAAATCAACCTGACTTCAACTTTCACAGGGATCTCATCAAAGCGAGCTTATAGTTTGGTTTTTGGTGCTGTAGCAGTTCTAAGACGGCATGGCAACTCTCCACGATCCATACTGTTAAAAGAGATAGCTAGCCTATGTAAAGAAACTGAAGATGTCGAAGAGAAAACAATGGTTTGGCAGGTCATTCAAGCGGCACTTCACATTTGGCTGGCTTTGGATATACAATTGGACGACAACTTGCATGGCGTAACATTTGCCGAAACGATATCTGGAAAGAGTAACGCAGTGGTTTGGGAGGGAGAGACATCTCTTCAAACTCTGACTGAGCAGGAATTCTTACCGGAGTCTTCCAATGCTACAAATACAGGCCAGAGTTTCAAGGTCGAGCCCATCTTCACGATGGCCTACTTGGTCAACTATTACGGCTTTCGAATCTACTGGACAAGTTCACTCACAGAGCATCTCACAATCAACTGGAAGTTCAAAACAGTCAGTATCTTCCAGCACAAGATATGTCTTTGGAATCACACCAAATATCCAGATACTTCGCCTATACCCCTAGAGATTCACGAGGAAGCCCTTGATACGATGAACCTACTGTTTCCCTTCGATGACACTAGTACCAAGGCTCTTCTTCAGAAAGAAGGAGTCAACTTTTACAGCCTCGGTTTCTGTGGCAGGGAGAGACTCTTGGATCTCGATAGATACAACTATTGGCGCCTACCGTTGGAAGAGTTGGTAGGGGTGCTCCAGCTGCCACCAAGCGGCCTACATCAATTACGGCTGGACAAAGACGGGCGGAACCTTCTGCAGTTCGCAACGTTTTGGATCGCCGCGGCGGTAGCACTCTTGACAATTGTAAGCTTCATCTTCGGCATTCTATCAACAATCTATGCGAAAAGAGGGTATGATATTGCAGTTCTGCAGTACAAGCTGTCCCTCGCACAGGCTTGTGCGGAACCTGGAGCGAAAGAACAATTGCCTGACTTCTGTTGAGGTCCTCAGCGCCTTGGTAGTTGTACACATAGACTCTATGTCGCATTGTTAAAAGAAAAATCTTGGAGTGCATAAACAAAAACAAATGGGTATTTCCATTCTCGTTTGACTAGATATTCATCTGAAGACACCATAGCCACTACCTCGTTCTGTGAGATGGGAAAAAGCGAAGAACCTATCCACTAGAGCGCGCCTTAGGAGCTCTCAAATACCGCTCGGATTCCCTTGGTGCCATGCCAAGGAATCGGGATGAAGTAATCGTGTGCCATCTCGCAATCCCTAACGGTCGTCTCAAAGGTCTTGATCACACCAACATCACCTGGTCGACGATCCGTCTCACTGCCCCAAACGCGGAACATCTTGGCCAGACCAAGGAACAGCTCGGACTGAGCGAGCGGCATACCCTGGCAGACACGAGTTCCGCCGCCAAACACAGTGAAATACTTCTCGAGACGCTGCTCACCGTCACCGAGCCAGCGCTCCGGGTGGAAGCCGAAAGGGTCGTAGTAGATTGCCTCAGTTGTGACGGTCTTGTAGGTCGTCATCGACACGGGGTTTCCCTTCGGGATTGTCCACTTCTTGCCCGTCTCTGGATCGGTGTAGTGCATGTCCTCGTCCGGAGCGACGCGCGCCAGCCGGCCACTAGTGCCGAAGCCGAGACGCAGACTTTCCTTCACAACGCCGCGCAAGAAAGGCAGTGCTTCAAGCGTGCCGAGGGGCACGATGTCATGAGAGTCCGGGATGGCCGTGAAAAGCTCGTCGCGTAGTTTGCGTAGGGAGGCGGGATCGTTGAGAAGGTGGAACGTGGCGATGGCGAGCGTCCAGGAGGTTGTCAAGGTTCCGCCTTGAACGAGGATCTGGCCGTCCTGCGCAAGGCGGGTGAGGGTCTTCTCGCGATCCGGCAGAAGCTTGGACGAAAGCATCTCGTGGAAGATGGTTGGGTGGGAAACATCGAGCTGCCACTTCTCAGTGTGCTCGGTGGCTTTAATCTCTGCAATCTGCTGGAGGATGTCACGCTTCATCTTGAGGAAACCAGACCAGCCTGGCACACAGTTCTCTGAGACAAACTCAGGAAGTGCATTGATAAACTTAAGGATGATCTCAATATGTTGGATCCATTTACTTTGTATTTATTAGCCTGCGTTCCGTTTGGGATGAAGAGCTATACTCACCCATAGTGTGTCCCTTGAAGTAGATTGTCTGTCACCTCCTTGCCAAAAGTAGGGTCCTCAACTAAATAGACAATTAGCATTAGCGAGAAGGCAAATGCAGGAGAATTACTGACTCAGATGACCACATCGTGCAAATGAGTATTCGTTGATCACATCTAGCTTATTAGCCCGGGTTTATAGCAAGTCTCCTTGATTCTTACCATTTGTAAATGCTGAGAATGGATACATCAAATCTAGTGGCTTGGAGCTTGTCTTGCTGTACTCCAATAGACGATTGAGAAGAGCGTCAACTCGCTCTTCGATAACCGGCTGCAATTTTCTCACGCTCTGTGTTGAGAAGAAAGGATTTATCGCAGCACGACGGAGCTTGTGGTGATCATGATCTATTGTCGCTAGACCACTCTCTAGAGCATCGTTAGTCTCCTACTTCGTCACTCGAGAATATGAAGTGAGTATACCATCTGCGCCAAACTGCAAGTAAGGTTAGCTGTGTACACACTTCCAAAGACTATTCGACTAACTTGTTTAACAAAGAACTTCGTCTTCTCTCGACGACGGCCAGGGCCAGTGTAGAGTTCGGGGTAAAAATCTGGGTCTCCAACATGGACCTCGTCAGGGTTGATGCGGATTACGGGGCCATATTTCTTGTGTAGTTCGAGGATCTTGAAAGTGTATTGACCACCTAGTACGATATCATAATAGAACTCATACCACCAAGTTGCAGCAGCTAGCTTAGGGCCCGGAATATGCGAGATGGGGCTGAAGTAGAGTCGGCGAACAACAAGTTGAACAACATACAGTCCAAGGAAGATCAAGAGAACCAGACCGTGAAATGGAGTGACACTTGACAGCAAGTTCGCGAAGGCCATTGTGCTTTTGACAAAGCGCAGAGTACTTTGGTTTGAAGAAAAGAGGAAAAGAACAGCCCCGCAGAAGAGGCGATCGAGAGCTCGAGGAGGGGTCTCATTAAGAGCACGCCAACTAACTGAGATAGCTCTGGGGTTCGATATGGTCTAATGGCACTATAGCGTCGTGCTCCTCACCTTCTTTGGTCCGACTGCCGTGATCGAGCTGCCCGAATGGGCGCCATCGCATGCACTTGCATGGGGAGGACTTAGCTCCACATTGCGATTTTGGTGATCCTGACGTCGACACGTTGCCCGAGAGGGACTTCCGTATCATAGCCAGTCCTCCACTTTGCGCACTTTCTGCGGCACCCTTCAGATGGATGGCG